ACAATCGTAGGCTTTGCTCATACATGGATCTCTAGTTATCTAGAAAATTGTAAACAGTTTGTGCAGATAAATTGTAAAAATAATAAATTGCTCAATACCAATATTGTTTGCTTGAATGACTTTCCAAAAGTATCAACTATTGTGCTGTCCTCACGACACGTGACCATGTGAAGCTAGACAGCGAACGGGAAAGAAACTCTGTAGACAAGGCTTACTTTTCTTGTTTCATAGAGAATCTCTTGCGTATGGTTCATTGCATCCATCCATCCATCCATCCATTTTCTACCCTTTAATCCATTTCTGGGTCAGGGGGGTGGCAGTCAGAGATGCCACCCAAGTCTCATAGCACCAGCCCCTCACTGACCCTCTGCAGGTGGTGAGTCCACAGGAGGACGGCTGCTCTCTGAGCGTGAGCATAGCCTTGATCTTTTCAGCGGGGGCGTTCATTGCATCCATAAATACAAAATAAAAAAAATCACCAAAATCACCGTAACTGAAACAACAGAAAAACTATCAACGGCTGTACACACGAAACTGCATACTGCGCTAGCTAATCAGATATAGCCCAAACGTAACACTTTGTATTAGAATAAAACACTTTTGTGGCCTTAACAATGTGCTTGTGAGATTAAATAATACTTACAAAGACGAAAGTTTGCCAAGGCTCAACACATGAAACAAAGATTGTTACAAAAAACAAACCAAACAAGAGCGCTTACTCTGCTCGGCCAGGAAACTGATGTTTTATAGAGAAGATGTCTTACTTTGTTTCCCCTTATATTTTAGCACAACAAACAAATATAGCTTATTATCACACTGGGCTGAAGAAGGCCCTGTGGGGCCCAAACACGTTGGTCCCTTCTCTGTTAAAGGACTTTTATCAGAGTGCCTCGGATTTCACCCTGTCTTCATTTTCCATGGAAAAGGGAATCTTTGTTTTTAAAATGTAACTTATTACATAGCATTTAAGAACGTGTTGTATTTTTAAACAAACTTATAAATGATTGAATTATGTCTTTAAACTTGAAGACATGACAACTATATTACAAATAATCTTATTTGCTGGTGTCAAAAAAAAATATTGGAGAGTTATCAAAAGTAATAAACAAAGAACTTGCCATAATAAAAATCTGGTTAGATCAAAATGACTTTGCTCTAAACAAAGAAAAACGAATACATGATATTCAATGCTAAAAAAGAAAAAAATCTTAAATAGTGTATCAATAAGACTAGACGGGTGAAATTCAAAAGGGTAAAAGAAACAACATTTTTGGGAGTCATCATCGTTGAGGATCTTAGCTGGAAATCTCACAGACACTGTACAAAAGGAAAATTAGCCAAATCACTTGGTGTTTTACGCTTTCCAAACCACTCAGCATTACTGACCTTAGATAATACACTGGTTATACCGACCTCACCTATGTTGTCAACATTTGGAGACAACGTTTAAAACACATACACAGCCAATAGTTATTTTACATAAAAAAGAGCAGAAGGAAAATATATCGAGATTCATCAAATCCTGTTTTTGAGTGCTTGGTGTTAAAATTGTATGATATAATGGATTATACTATTTATCATACATTGTATAAGGCAAATTGCAAAACATTAGCAACAAACATCTAAGAGAACTTTGGAAAAAAGACAAAGTCAGTACAATCTGTAAGGAACTGACATCTTTAATAAAACCTAGATTCAGAACTAAAGTCATGGGAAGAATGGTCTCAGTGGTAGGAATCAACTTGTGGAACTTAACAAAGACATTAAAGAGTCAAAAAAATAAAAAAAATCATGGTTTTTAAGAAACAACAAAACTACTATACTCAATAAATATGAGAGTGTTACATAAGAAGAAAATCTGGATTTAAATTAATGGTTTGTGTTTTGGAAAAATGTTGTACATAATGTTTAAGGTATGTAATATGTAATATGGGTGTTTAATCAGTCTTTAAGATGACTATTTAGGGTAACGAGTGTCAATTGTATATCTGAGAGATGTACGGCTGTAAATCATTTGATCTCCATTAAAAAGAAAACCTGTACCAAGGACCCAAGTATCACATCTACCTACTCTGTTTCAAACTGTGTACATATATGTATATAGGGTTCTTATTTTTATTGTACTGCACAATTAAATCGATATAGAGACTACTACCTTATGATTAGGGTCAGGATTATAACGCATTAATTACGATTGATAAACGCCACAAAAAAAAAATGCATTTAAATATTATGTGTGATTTTGCTCCACGGAACCTTCGTCATCGGGTGAGTTTCAGACGGATCGTTCATACTGGTGTACCAGTTCGAACCCTGCGCCCATCTCCGTGAAGAAATAAAAACTATCCCCTATTGTTTTAGTGCAACACTCAGGACCACATGATAAGGCAGTCACACACCTAAGTGTCGCTCTTTCAGAGTTCGGGTGCAGTACTACTTGTTGCAGAAAAATAAAAATAAAAAACACCTATACAATACAATACAATACAATTTATTCTTGTATAGCGCTAAATCACAACTGGAGTCATCTCAGAGGACTTAACAAAAACTACTGAAAATCACCAACACAGATCGGAAAATCAACAGTTAAAACACATAAAGAATATAGACCACATGCCCATACATGTTGTAGAATATTAAAGTGTCCTGGATCATCACCACAGTCCTTCTAGTTTCTCACTAACTGTGCAACAAACCCATCCTGCATCAGCAAGGAAAAACTCATATGAAAAAAAAGTGCGAAACCTCAGGGAGACCCATAGTTTGAGAAAGGGATCTGCTTCACTCAAGTGTCACCTTTTGGAAAATAGGGCGCCATACCACCTTTTCACCACATGGTACTACATGTATCACCCTGATTGGACGTAGTAGGTCCATCCTCCCTCCAACCCCTTCATCATGATTCGCTGTTAGTACACCCTCCCACCCCCTTCAGCATGATTCGCTTACACTGTTTGCTCTACCTTGATAGGCTGGGGCAGGTCCATCCTACCACCCCTTCAGCATGATTCGGTGTTAGTACGCCGTCCCCTTAACATCGGAGGGACTGGCTATCACTGATTGTTTTAGAATAAACATGGTGTAATCATACACAGGTCTTACGCAGAGCTCTATTCAATAATAAAACATCTTAAAGACCTTATGACGGGTTTTTTAAAAAAAAATAGTGGATATCAAAATTGCATGACAATGTCAATTTGAAAAAGATTCCGGCAAAAAAAATCCTATATTTTATAAAAAGAACGTGTTTTTCATGAATTTAAGTTGTCTATGCTCTAACCTGTGTGTGACGTCATAGCGGGTTACGCCCATGCATTGAAAACAATGGATTTATGCCACAGGACTGCCTTTTCTCTCTTCTCTCCACTGATGCCCAACACAATACTGCACTCTACAGGTGACAATTGCTCACTACACATAAATTGCCGTTTTGAGTGTGAAAAAGTGTCCGAGATGGGATTTGAACCCAAGTATCTGGATTGGCAGTCCATCGACACAACCACTGGACTATCTCAGTGACAACAAAATGATACATTCTAGTAGTTAGCTTAGACTCGCTGTACACGGCCTTGTCATCTTGAATATCCGCGAAAAAAGAACAAATACCAAATTGTAAACAACTTACAGCATTGAAACGTACCCGTTCTGACGTCACCAAGGGCTGTGAAGTTTTTTCGTTTCTAAGGGCGTTGCTATGGGGTTATTTCGATTTGGGGGGGGATCAGACAAAAAAAACAACAACTGATTTTGAAACCTTTAGTAGTTCTCTTCTAATATAAAATGGTATTAAAACTGTATTTCTAAATAAATCAAACCCGTCATAAGGTCTTTAAGATAACCCCCTTAGATGACGGTGAAGTATTTGTTTTACCACACACACACAGGGTCAACCAGAGGACAACTCATTAGGTATTCAAAGTGACACCTCTTGGAAAATACGGTGCAGTACCACCTTTCACCACTTGCTCAATAGCGGTGGCCTTGTTCTGAGGAGTGCAGGGTGCAGTACCACCTTTTCACCACTTGCTCAATACTGCCGTCATTTTTATCTACTGTCATGGTTCAATAAAAACAGTCATTGTGGTATACGCTGAATGTTGGGTTGAAAGTCGTAAAACTGTTTTTGGTTAGAGATGAAGCACTCATTTCGGGTGTCATCATCTTGCTCACTCTGGTGTCCTCTCTTCAAACTTAGGACTGTCGCCTTCTCTGTATTAAAACATTTGCTGAAGTCAAAGAGCGTAGAGACTGCTGTTTACACTCTTCGTTCGGTAACCTTCATTTCTTGCATCCCGGGGGTATACAAAATACACCCATTTTTTCTCTACCGTCTTATTTGTGTCACAGCAGAATCAATATCGTAACACAAAAGTGGGAGCTTCGTCCCCTACAACTACGTCATCAATTTTCAGACCAATCAGAGTTGTTCATATTGAAAAATTATTTTACTGATTTATTAATTAACAATAACCCGAAAACACATTGCTGAGGTGGGAAATGCATGTTTTTAATGTGTTTTATCAGAAAAAAATATGTAGTTTTTCATAAAGATAGCCCACATTTAAGTGTTATCTACCATGTTTCACGGTGAAATTGTGCTGTGCACTCAAGTATTCAGAACCTGCAATGATTACATTTGTCCACAAGTAAAGAAATCAAATCAAATTGTGTCCCTAAAATTTAAAATCAAATCGTATTGAGGATTTGGAGAATCGTGACACCCCTAGTGAAGACACGTGTCAAAGTGAAGACATGAGAGAGGACATGTGTTAAAGTGAAGACCCACGCTTCATAACAGAACAATGAGATGGAGCTGCTAGACTCAAATCTTTCATCAATAATGACCTTCACACACCCAGAGTCCACAAGGACAGACCCAAAGGATTGGACCCCTAATAGTCATAAAACTTGTGTTTATCAGAAGTGAAACCCTCCCTCTGTTTGTCAGTTTTGGTGTGAAAAGTCGCCCTCCGTATTTGTGTTCTGCTTTGAAACATTACCATATTTCCAGTTCTGGTCCAAGTCTGTATTTAGCCCCCTTTTCTTTAGCGATCTCAATACCTGTAAAACACAAGGCGAGTTTATTTTTTATATTATATTTGAATAGCATCCAAGGAAAGTCAGAGAGAATATAAAAGGAAAAGAAACATTAAAAATATAAATCACATAGCATTAAACTGTGAAATACAGGCCTTTTCAAACCCTGTAATGTATTCTGAGGCCTCTAATCCTCTGTGATTGAGATATTGAGCTAGATAGATACTTTGTTCGTCCCACAGTGGGGAAATTTCAATGTTGCAGCACACATACAGGATAGTAGTAAGAGCACACAAAAATATACAAAATAAGTAGTAGCTATGTTTCTTAACTAGCTGTAAATGCTTCAGTACCAGTGTTTCAAAAAAAAAAAAAAATATATATATATATATATATATATATATATATATATATATATATTATATATAATTTAAAAAAAAATCTCACCTTTTGCCCACCGCGGGCGGTTATCCCTCTCTAAGCTCGGGTCCTCTACCCTCTACCAGATTATTATATATATATATATATATATATATATATATATATATATATATATATATATATATATATGTGTGTAATATGTGCAGAGTTATATACTGTACATATAGTGCAGGATAATAAGTAGATAAAGTCAAGTGACATTGTTCAGTGGACATTCTAAAGTTGCAGTATTGCACATAGCACATGATTTTAGTATACTTATTTACAAATTAATGACATTTACAGGCTCAGCAGTTCTCATTTTACAGTCTGACAGCAGCAGGAAGGAAAGACCTACGGAACCTCTCCACAGCGAGGGTGAATTAGTCTGTCACTGAAACTGCTCTCGAGAGCGTCCTGCAGGGGGTGACAGTCATGGTCCAGCATAGATGTTAGTTTGTCCAGGACCCTCCTGTACCCCACCTGCTGCACTGCATATACAGTGCCTTGCGAAATTATTCGGCCCCCTTGAACCTTTCAACATTTTGCCACATTTCAGGCTTCAAACATAAAGATATAAAAATAAATTTTTTTGTCAAGAATCAACAACAAGTGGGACACAATCGTGAAGTGGAACGGAATTTATTGGATAATTTAGACTTTTTTAACAAATAAAAAACTGAAAAGTGGGGCGTGCAATATTATTCGGCCCCCTTGCACTAATACTTTGTAGCGCCACCTTTTGCTGCAATTACAGCTGCAAGTCGCTTGGGGTATGTCTATCAGTTTTGCACATCGAGAGACTGGAATTCTTGTCCATTCTTCCTTGCAAAACAGCTCGAGCTCAGTGAGGTTGGATGGAGAGCGTTTGTGAACAGCAGTCTTCAGCTCTTTCCACAGATTCTCGATTGGATTCAGGTCTGGACTTTGACTTGGCCATTCTAACACCTGGATACGTCTATTTGTGAACCATTCCATTGTAGATTTGGCTTTATGTTTTGGATCATTGTCCTGTTGGAAGATAAATCTCCGTCCCAGTCTCAGGTCCTTTGCAGACTCCAACAGGTTTTCTTCCAGAATGGTCCTGTATTTGGCTCCATCCATCTTCCCATCAATTTTAGCCATCTTCCCTGTCCCTGCTGAAGAAAAGCAGGACCAAACCATGATGCTGCCACCACCATGTTTGACAGTGGGGATGGTGTGTTCAGGGTGATGAGCTGTGTTGCTTTTACGTCAAACATATCGTTTTGCATTGTTGCCAAAAAGTTCGATTTTGGTTTCATCTGACCAGAGCACCTTCTTCCACATGTTTGGTGTGTCTCCCAGGTGGCTTGTGGCAAACTTTAAACGAGACTTTTTATGGATATCTTTGAGAAATGGCTTTCTTCTTGCCACTCTTCCATAAAGGCCAGATTTGTGCAGTGTACGACTGATTGTTGTCCTATGGACAGACTCTCCCACCTCAGCTGTAGTTATCTGCAGTTCATCCAGAGTGATCACGGGCCTCTTGGCTGCATCTCTGATAAGTCTTCTCCTTGTTTGAGATGAAAGTTTGGAGGGACGGCCGGGTCTTGGTAGATTTGCAGTGGTCTGATACTCCTTCTATTTCAATAAAATTGCTTGCACAGTGCTCCTTCAGATGTTTAAAGCTTGGGAAATCTTTTTGTATCCAAATCCGGCTTTAAACTTCTCCACAACAGTATCTCGGACCTGCCTGGTGTGGTCCTTTGTCTTCATGGTTCTCTCTGAACTTTAAACAGAACCCAGAGAATATCAAAGAGCAGGTGCTTTTATAGTAAGTAAGTAAGTAAGTAAGTAAGTAATTATTTATATACCGCCTTTTCACTGCAGAGCTGAGTCTCAAAGCGGTTTACAATTGTAATTTTTTTTTTTTTTTTGGGCATTTGTCTCTCACTCCACACAGAGATGGGAGCGGGGTCGCCAGTACAGGAGGCGCATGCCAGAACTATTTTACATGTTTTTAGCGGTAGGGGAAACCGGAGTACCCGGAGGAAACCTACGCAGACACGGGGAGAACATGCAAACTCCACTCAGAAAGGCCCAGGTCCGACCGGGATTCGAACCCAGGACCTTCTTGCTGAGAGGCGAGAGTGCTATCCACTCAGCCACCGGAGACTTTATTACACACAGGTGCATTCTATTTATCATCATCAGTCATTTAGGACAACATTGGATCATTCAAAGATCCTCACTGAACTTCTGGAGTGAGTTTGCTGCACTGAAAGTAAAGGGACCGAATAATATTGCACGACCCACTTTTCAGTTTTTTATTTGTTAAAAAAGTTTAAATTATCCAATAAATTTCGTTCCACTTATCGATTGTGTCCCACTTGTTGTTGATTCTTGACAAAATTGTTTATATCTTTATGTTTGAAGCCTGAAATGTGGCAAAATGTTGAAAGGTTCAAGGGGGGCGAATACTTTCGCACTGTACACACACACGTACACACACACACACACACAATTATGTTCTGTAATGTACTGATAAACATTAGACTTTATATTTTAGATCCATTACACACAACTGAAGTAGTTCAAGCCTCTATTGTTTTAATATTGATGAATTTGGCAAAAAAAGTGAAGAAAAAACAAAAATCCCTATCTCAGATAATTAGCATATCATGAAAAGGTACTCTAAACGTGCCATTAACCTAATCATCTGAACCAACAAACTCTAAACACTTGCAGAAGATTCCTGAGGCTTTTAAAAAACTCCCGGCCTGGTTCATTACTCAAAACTGCAATCATGGGTAAGACTACCTGACTGTTGTACAGAAGGCAATCATTGACACCCTCAAGTAAGAGGGTAGACACAAAAAGACATTTCTGAGCGAATAGGCTGTTCCCAGAGTGGGAAATGGGCTACAGAAACCAAAACCAGAAACAGCGGCAGAAGCGCCTGACTTGGGCTACAGAGAAGCAGCACTGGACTGTTGCTCAATGGTCCAAAGTACTTTTTTCGGATAAAATCAAGGTGCCAGAGTGTGGAGAAAGACTGGGGAGAAGGAAATGGCAAAATGCCGGAAGTCCAGTGTCAAGTACCCACAGTCAGTGATGGTCTGGGTTGTCATGTCAGCTGCTGGTGGTGGTCCACTGTGTTTTATCAAGGGCAGGGTCAATGCAGCTGGCTATCAGGACATTTTGGAGCACTTCATGCTTCCATCTGCTGAAAAGCTTTATGGAGATGAAGAATTCCTTTTTCAGCACGACCTGGCACCTGCTCACAGTGCCAAAACCACTGGTAAATGGTTTATTGACCGTAGGATTACTGTACTCAATTGGCCTGCCATCTCTACTCACCTGAACCCCATAGAGAATCTGAGAGATATTGTGAAGAGGAAGTTGAGAGTCACCAGACCATGGATCTAGCACCAGACCCAACACTGTGGATGAACTTAGGGCCACTATCTAAGCATCCTGGGGCTCCATAACACCTCAGCAGTGCCACAGGTTGCCTCAATGCCACGCTGAATTGAAGCATTCATTTCTACAAAAGGATTCCTGATCAAGTATTGAGTGCATAACTGAACATCATTATTTGAAGGTTGACATTTTTTTAATTAAAAACACTTTTCTTTTATTGGTCGGATTAAATATGCTAATATTTTGAGATAGGGATTTTTGGTTTTTCTTTACTTTTTTGCCAAAATCATCAATATTGAAACAATAAAAGGCTTGAACTACTTCAGTTGTGTGTAATGAATCTAAAATATATGAAAGTCTACTGTTTATCAGTACATTACAGAAAATGATGAAGTTTATCTCAATATGCTAATTTCTTTAGAAGGACCTGTATATATACACAGTATCTATGTTTTGTACACACGTGTTGTAAACAGAAGCCTAAACTTAAACTCACTCTTCAGAATTCTCTCCAAGTTTCCTTCGAAGTCCAGTGCCCACTGATTCAATGAACACGTTGCTAACGTGACTTTTCGTCCCATTCTTTTCGTACGACGCCAGACAAAACTTCAACTGTGAGACTGTAAAACTGAAACAACTGTCAAAAGGAACAGAGTTGGAATCCGACTGGCGGCGTCCGGATTCATACAGAAACCCCTACCTCCTCATATTTTATTTTCCCTCTCCTTGCTGGCGTTAGATGTCTAACATTAGTAGGAACAAAAGTCTTGAACCGGTCTTTACTTTTAATTGAACCTCGAGCATCGTGAGCTCACAAAAATTACAGGTTCAGAGGAACGTGAAGGACGAGGAAGGAGGAAGTCTGTGTGAAGTTGGACGTGGCCCAGATACGTTCTGCTGCCGACTCAAGCTGCAGTGACATCTGGCGGTGGATATGAGTTATGTTAATGTTATTACTTTTTTTTTTTTTAGATCCATACAATTTTGTCCTGTTCTGTTTAGTTTATTTTTTATAATGACGTCACAAAATAACAAATACAATTACATCATATGTTGTTGTGTCTATACAGTCTATGGTCTATACATTACACTCACACAGTTAAAGTTGGACATTTATGAGCTGTTTTTATCCCAAAATTCATTATTTAGGATGGAAAAAGTGAAGTTTATAGCTCGGTGTTCTGGATATATTCAGTTGAACCCTGAAGGTTATCACCCATTCTTCTTTGCAACTATAGACAACTGGCCACCCAGACTGGTCGCCCAGACTCATGGGAGCCTCCGCAACATCTAGAGTCCTGGGTCTACAACCTTTGTCCTGGATTTGCAGCCTCAGTCCTAGATTTGCAGCCTTTGTCCTGGATCTACTGCCTCAGTCCTGGATAGTCTTGGATTTTCAGCCTCATTCCTGGATCTAATAATAATAATAACAATACACTATACTTTTTGGACATTCAAAAACGTTTTTGACAAGAACCAATTAAAAACAAATAAAAAACTGAAATAAACAGCATGTTTAAGCAATTTTGAACATTAAAGTTTTGAGCAGTGATTTGAAGTTCAGTGAGTCAGAGTTCCTGATGTGTTGTGGGAGTGAGTTCCTGAGAGGGAGCAGCTGACTCGGTCCTCAGGGTTTTGAAGGCTCGGTCCTCAGTTTTTGGCACTTTGTTTTGATGGGAGTGAGGAGGTTGGAGTCAGCAGGGGGGAGAGACCGTGCTGATGGAGAAGGTCTGGGCAGAGGGGAGGAGGGATTTGGTTCCAGTGAGGGGAGTCCTGTTTTTTTGTGTTGAGTTTGAGAAAATTGTAGTCCATTCATGTTGATCTGAAAGGCAGTGTGTGATGGTGGTGAGGATAACCAGGGTGATGGATTTGGTGGAAATGTACATCTGCATGTAGATGATGAAGTGGAGTGGGCCGAGTTCTGATAATTCAAAAAATATCTAGTGATGGCCAAAAAATCTCAAAGCTAAAACTTTTGTGACTTTGAGGCATCTGCAAGTGGAAAATGGAGATCCATGGTTTGGGATCATTTTTATCTTTTAACCAAACAATGATTTTTTTTTCTCTTTAAAAACTTTAATAAAAACCTGTAATCTGCATAAACTGCCGTTCCTTTGTTTCTGTAAATTGCTTTTAGATGTAAACAAACTTTGATTCAATTGTAAGGGTTCCTTAAAAATAGATTAATAACAACAATATACTATGTTTTCTGCAGTAGGATGTGAGAAGATGAAAAGTAATTTGGAGCTACATTTGGAACGTGAATCAAGTACTGATATTCAGAAGCTGCAATTATTTCATTTATCTAGTGTTACAAGCGAGTCTGAGCTAGTTCAGAGGCTTCACACCTTTGAAACAGTTTGGGAATGAAAGCCTCAGAGTGTCACGAGGCTTCATATGTCCATTTATAGCATTTGTTACAACATATTATTGTGAAAAAACTAAGAAAAGAAAAATATTTTTCTGTGAAAATGATATTAGAGAAAGAGAAGCAAGGCATATCTGAACTGGTCTCTAAAAGGCAACAGCGGAAGTCACACTGATTTGTAGATATGTAATTTGTTGGTGATGTTCATGCAAGCACCAGAAAAAAACATCTATGTTTTGAAAAAACACCATTTAAAAAAAAAATCTCTTGAGAGGGGTTCAGTGAATGCGCATATATAACTGGTGGGGTTCGGTACCTCTAACAAGGTTAAGGTTAAGGTCTAAGGAAACTTTCACTTTACCACTTCAGATTGTTCAAAGTGTTGGGAAAGTTACTTTTAAACATTTCTCGTTACTCATTATTACTTTTACAAAGAAACCTGTTACTTTACTTAGTTACTCTCTAAAGAAAGTAACTTATTATGTTACTCATTACTTTTACGTGTTACTGTTATTATCACTACAGTCTATACTGTCCACTAAAAATTGTCAAACCAAAATACAAATAATTAAGTTTATTTGTGAAAAACATGCAGGAACTAAGTACATGATTGGCTGAAGGCAACAAATGTGACAAAGCAGTGACTTTGATGCTGCTGCTCTCGAACGACTCACAAACCTTTTATTTCGAGAGTAATATGTAAGACAGTTTAGCTCATATCCTTACATCCACTAGTACCCCCCCCCCCCCCCCACTCCCCAAACACAAATAATAAATAAATAAATACTGTAGAAAAAAACACTCTTTAAGTTGGAGCCCTGTCCAAACATCAAAAAGTCCGAGGCAATGTTCATCTCCAGCATTGAAGAACAGTCAGAGGAGGACGTCTCTGAAGAGGTCTCTGAGGAAGCATCAGTGGTACAGCAGTCTCCTAAAGATCAGAGGGTCCACGCATCAGAATGTGGTATAAATATGATGTAAAAGTCAAGTATTCACAAACAAAATGGTAGAAAAAAATGTATGAAGACAGTTTTTCCCACAATGTTGTCTCCTCTGTGGTTGGGGAGGCATCATACTGCTCCTCTGTGGTTGGTGATGTCACGTACGGCTGCTTGTAGTTGTTGGAGTCTCAGTGTCCAGGGGAGTGTGGTGTGTTGATGTGCGGCTGGGACTGGGTGAGGAGGCTCGACTGGGTGAGGAGGCTCGACTGGGGGAGGAGGCTCGACTGTGTGAGGAGGTGCTTCACGGAGAGCTGTGTGTTGAGAAGCTCGTTGTCTGTGGAGTCTCCTGAAGTTAGAATGAAACAAGGGTTAGAACACATGTATAGAGTGAGCGATGTTAGGGGCGAAGCTCTAGTAGGCTCTAAAGTTTGGGGGCGGGCTCTAAAGCTTTGTTTTGACCAAGTCCCGACGATCCAAGATGAATAAAAGTTTAGGATGACAAGGGACACTCAAATCCCCACAAAATCAAACCTTTATGTAAGCTGTAGGTTCTCTGTCAGCTGAGGTTGAGCTGTTTTAGTTTACATTGAGTTCTATGGGGAAGATTTCTGGGTAGCCCACATGAAATTAGTCTTGTTTAGTCTGCAGTACAGCAAGAATCCCCAAAGCACATGAGTCCTTCAGCTCCAAACTAGTAATACCCTATCCAGATACTATAATACAGCCATGGTTTTGACTTTTTTGATCATAAAATTTGGATAGGGTATTGCTAGTCTCCATAGGGTCCACAGTGTGTTTCCTCTCCCAGAATTACAGATGTGGACTGCAAACTTGGCGACTCTCTTCCTGACAGCTCTGAAAGATGTTTTGTTTTCTGACAATCCACAAGAAACATAACCACATCTTCCCAGTTAGCCTCTGGTCCTCCATCCTTAACAACTGCCATCCCGTAATGCTTTGTGCTTTTGGAGATTTTAGTAGAACTCGGGGTAGAAGTTTCTTTATTTTTGAGCAAAACAAACATCTACAGTAATTCAATATAAAACATTTATTTATATAACTTATTCTACTTTGATCCTTAAGTGTCATGACTGTGTTTGTTCTAAATACTGCTTGTATCATTCAACCCGTCTGACCCATAACCCGTGCACAGGGGCTGATACCGCTGAGGCTGGTACCTCTGAGGCTGGTACCGCCGAAGCTGGTTGGTACCTCTAAAGCTGGTACTTCTAAGGCTGGTACCTCTGAGACTGGTACCGATTAAGCTGGTATCTCTGAGACGGGTACCTCTGAGACTGGTACTTCTGAGGCTGGTACCTCTGATGTGGTGCCAGTAAGCAGAGCGTGGCAAGATGGCGGTGGGAGTGCAGGGGTACGATCCTGGCTCCAGACCTCTGGACAACAGCTGCAGACAGAGAACAGGCTCATGGTTACTAGGGTTAGGGTCACCAGGCTACCAGTTATCAGCAGGGACCTTCGGTGTCTCTAAAATTTACACTCGTACAGGTATCTACTCTTAGATACCTACTCTCAGGTACCTGCTCTCAGATTCCAAATAACCTGAGAGTAGGTACCTAAGATTAAAAGTACACTGTGTAATTTTTAGTGCCATCTAGCGTTGAGATTTTATATTGCAGTCCAATATAGTACGAAAGCCTTTGACAGTGCTCCTCAACTCTCAGTCACTGCCAAGGAAAGAATACTTTAGTTTGATAAATGACCGGATCTCTCCAAACGTCTCGGGCACTTGACAGTTGCGTGGAGGCAACTTGTAAAAAAGACCACGTTCAGACGCGGCACCCTGCACAGAGGCTCTAATGAGTTTTACCATGGATAGTTTTACAACCCCACGTGTGTGGGACCTTACAACTACGATGATCAAAGAAGCAGGAGAAATACAGAGCCGCGGCAGGACATGGCTAAAAGATCATGTTAGCATTAGCGCCCTATCTGCATCACGGTAAGAAAACAGAACATTCACTCACGCTGCTGAAAAAATATTCTGGCAATTGTTTTGTGGGGATTCTGTGTGTGTTTTATTTGAGGCTTTGTCCCTGAATAAGTTTAGTTGAAACTTGTGACATAGTAGTTGGACTGCGCTCGGATCGGGTCAGAACATCCTGAGACTGTGTTGCAGATTCTGCCTTGTTCTCATTATTGTCAGTGTGAAAAAGTAACGTATTGTTCACGTGTGAGTCTGTTGTGAACAAACTACACGATGTGGCTCCTTTTGTGTTAACCCTTTGCTTCTATGACGCTGGACTTCTGCTTAATTATTTTTCTAAAAGATTGTTGTTTGGATTGTGTGGTCCTCCATGGTTCCTTCCTTGTATCAGTAGCTCATGTGAAACGAAAACGCGATTCTCGCATCCTTTTTGTCCCTTAGCCACCACCGTTTTTCAGATGGCGCATTTACAGGGAGAGCACTCCTCCCTCATGGACACTTATAAGTTAAATTCTAAGCCTATGAATACAATTCAAAAAACATGCTGGAGGTAAATATTCTTAAAAAGGTCACATTTGTTATTAGTTAACATGTTTTTTCATATGGAGCAGCTGTAAAAATTACACAGGGTGGCTATAAGGTACCTACTATCAGGTACCTACTAATAAGAAAAGAAGTGAAGAAGACGATGTTTTTGCACTGGTCTGTGGGGATTGTGAGTTCTGTTGTAATGAATGTTTTTATTTTCAGTTTTTAATCTGTGAGCCTAATCCCATGGGATTACAGACACGATTACAGAGAACTACAGACAGGATTACAGAAGGGATAACAGAGAGCTGCAGATTGGATTACAGAAAACTACAGACAGGATTAGAGAGGACTACAAACAGGTTGTTTGTACAAAAAATATGTACAATAGGTCTGGCAAGCGCCTCCTGTACTGGCGACCCTGCTCTCATCTCTGTGTGGAGTGAGAGACAAATGCCCACAATTGTAAACCACTTTGTGACTCTGGTCTGTGAAAGGTTGTATATAAATAAAGATTGCTTACTTACTAAATTCCTTAAAAAGAATTGTCCCATTCAAATAAATTATAAATAAATAAATAAACAATGGAGCGGAAAGATTACCACTGTTTGTTAAACATGAGAAAGAGGTGTCTGGTTCCCTCTGCTACAGACTCCTGTCTGTCCAATAGTGTGTCAACGTCCTTTTTCTGTGATTGGGCCCCAAATTCCAGGCCAATGAACAGTTCGATGCATCGATCGCAGGGGGATTCCACGGGTTAACACCCCTGACCCTTCTGTCTCAAAGATCTATTTTCAAACTCCTTCAAACCCAGACCATGACAAATATTGTTCTCTGTCTTAGCTTTGGTGAACCCCTCTTTACAGGATGGTGTCAATACGTGATGCTGACCCGGCTGCTCTTCTCCATCTCCAGCAGGACCCTCCTGTGCTGCTCGGCGATAGCCAGAGTGGCAGAGTGGACCTTTTGGTAGATTTGCTCTCCCTCTCTGGTCTGGAACGTGTAGAGACCTTCTCCAGTGTCACACATCCTAGACACAAAGGGTTAAACACATCAACTCATAAGTTACATGTATGGCTGTGTACCTGGACAACCACTCCATACAACATATATGCATATATATGGATATAGGAGGACTGTCTCTGCAGCATTGGAGGAGGTGTGTGTGGAGAGGGTATCTCTGCTTAGACTGTTGCCCTTGCGTCCCGGCAATGGATAAAGCGAAGGAAAATGGACGGATGGCTAAATACGACCAGGGTGCTTCCCACCACCAGGGTGGTGCCCATCCCTGCTTGGGAAACACTGTACTAAGAAATGGGCGATAAAACAAAAGACACATATTGTTAAACAAAGCTCATTATAAAGGGGTATAAATGTGAAATCTGTGGGTGTGAGTATATATACGGTGAGCTGTAGCTGTAGCTCACCGTCCGGTCTCGAAGGTGAACCTGGTGGCGTCGCGACCGTAGCGCCGCAGCGAGCTCAGGGGCCACGCCAGCAGTTTGGAGCTAGGGCGATGGACGTCCCACAGGTAGATGTTCTCCTGAGTGATCTGCATTAGGCTCTCCCCATACAGGTTCAGCTCCGGGCAGGGCATCAGGAACACACTGAAGCGCTCTGATGAGAGAAACATTGATCAATTATGATCAATGCTTGTCCTCTTCCATAAATGATCCATTGATCAATTATGGAATAGGTTAATCAAGTTTCTGATAAAAACCAACAAAGAAACAAACAAATAACATCTTGGCCGTCAGCACAATCCTCCCCTAACCATAGACCCTATCCATTGACCATAGAATCTAACCTTATCTCTTACTATGCAAAAAACAGACTTTAAACAGAATTAGTCAAGTCTCCAGTGTCTGTCATGGTCTTCTTCACGTATGCAGCACTCGGAATATCACCTGTGTGCTCGCACTGCACTCCGGCGGCCAGCAGGTCGGGCTCTCCCAGACTGATGTCGTTGGGGTGAGACCCCAAACATTCAGTGGAGAGGGTCTTGAACCATTCCTCAGCTTCCAGCTCTAAGAGAGAGAGAGAGAGAGAGAGATTTTAATGACAGAAAGGTTCCCCTCAAATCTAAAGAATATTCTGTCTTATTCTAGTACAGTATCAGAAGTAAAGGATCAGTAGGGAGTTCTTGGATGCAGCCACCGATGGCGGACGTGTCTCTGTGAGCTCCGGTGTACCCAAGCGGATGGCAGGGGAACAAGAAAAGCCGACTCTGAAGTCGGTCATGAAGGCTATACGTGACTCACACAATGAGCTCTCAACTAAGATCGACAGGAACCAAACTGACCTACAACAATCCCTGGTGAAAATTGAACAAGCTCAAACCACGCTTTTTGAGCAAGTGAAGGAAATGGAGACCCGCGTTGGAGCTAACGAGGACAACATGGTGGACGCTGTGACCCGTATCACCACAATGGAGAACGAAATGAAACTCCTGAAAGTAAAGGCTGATGACTTGTAAAATAGGAGTAGGAGGACAAATATTAAGATTATCAGTTGATGTATACAGGTGGATGTAATTTCCTGCTTAGCATTGCTGCCTGTCGCACCTCTTCCGGTGCCCATGGGTCAGCTGCAGGGTCAGCTGCAGGGTCATCAGCCAGGAACCACCAATCACCAACGTTTCGCCCCTTTAATCCTGGAACGTCTCATGGTGGTGGAGCAGTGACAAGGACGTCTCCTTGTCACTCCCTGCAGCTGGAGAATGTTATCCCCCGCAGCTGTCATTGAGGTTAGCTATACATTCCCCAACTCCTATCCTTCCTCCTCAACCAGAGCCAGAAGCTGCCCTTTTCCCCCTCCTCCGAAAGCTCTCTAGTGGCCCTGCGCAGCTTTCCCCCCGTGACTCCTGCATCCCTCAAGAGCCGTATCATTGACAGCCCCACTAAGCCTCGGCAGCCAACTTCAACAGGGTAGATGGCGGCCTTCCATCCTGCCTCCCGGCACTCAGCAGCCAGCTCGGAATACTTGGCCTTCTTGCGCTCGTAGGCAGCCTCGATCTCCCCTTCTGATGGAACTGTGAGTTCAATGAGATGCGCCACTTTTGCCTTCGAAGACCAAACCACAATGTCAGGGCGGAGAGATGTGATGGTGATCTCCGTGGGGAATTGGAGCTGTTTGTTAAGGTCAACCCTCATGTCCCACTCCTGGTTGGGGGCAAAGGGCCGCAATGTCTCTCTTGGCCTGGTGTAACTTTGCCCATCCCCTTCCCTGACAAAGTTGGTGTGGCTCTTTGCTGGTGGTAGCTGTTTGTTACCCTTTCTGCACCTTTCCAGGACCTCGGCGAGCTTCCTGAGGACCTGGTCATGGCGCCACCTGTAGCGTCCCTGGGAGAGCGCAATCTTGCAGCCTGACAAGATGTGTTGAATGCTTGCGTTGGGAGCGTTACAGAGTGAGCAGCATTCCTCATTGCCAAACCATTGGTGCAGGTTACGAGGACAGGGAAGCGTGTCATAGGTTGAACGGATAAGGAAGCTGAGCCTCGCCTGCGGGATCTTCCACAGGTCAGACCAACTGATGTTGCGGTCGTCAACTCCCTCCCAAGTTGTCCATCTTCCTTGCCGGCCCTGTGAGACGGCCTTGATCTTATAGAGCTCTTCCTCCATCCTCGTCACTTCTGCCACCACCATCTCCTTCCTCTCCTTGCGAGTGGCCTTCGACCAAAACCGTGGTGCCTCCTGCCTGGACTCTGCCCACGATCTCTCGATGCTGCAACCTGCTAACCGCATGGCCCACTTCGGCTTCTGCATTCCACTTTCGGCCAGTGGGAACCTTGGCATTTGCATTCCTTACCGACTCTTCGGTGGACTGACTCAGCTCGAGAACCAGCCTGGCCTTCTCTTGCATGTAGCCCACACTTAGGGACTGCAGTGGCAGTTGCAGCGCGTTCCTCCCAAAGAGGCCAGAGTCAGAGAGGCACCGTGGTAGCCCCAACCACTTTCTGATGGAGGCGTTGGCTTTTCCATCCATCTTCCTCACGGTGGATGAGGGGATCTCACTCATCTTCAGGGGCCACATCAGTCTCCTATAGAGTGTGAATTGGTAGCACCAAACCTTGTATTTCCCAGGGAGCTCGCTTTGGTCGATCCTTGCCAGGCCGTCTGAAAGCTGTTTCATGACGGTCCTCCCCATCTGTTTATCAGAGAGCTCTGCAGAATACTCCCTCCCCAAACTTCTGATAGGTTGTTCAGACAGAAGAGGGATTTTCTCTCCCCCGGCGACAAAGGTGGTGCTGTTGTTTATGACTCCCCTTCTGAGTGACAAACTACGGGATTTGGCGGGCTTGACCTTCATCCTGGCCCATGACATCAACTCGTCAAACCTTTTTAGCAGCCTAGATGTACATGCTTCTGTTTGGAGGAGACTAGTGACATCGTCCATGTAGCTTCTCAGTGGAGGAAGCCTCTGGCCAGATGGAAGTTTGATCCCTCCCACCATCTGCCTTGCCCCTATGAGAATGATCTCAAAGGCTGCGACAAACAGAATTGGTGAAATGGCACATCCCATAGCAATTCCCATCAATATCATCAATATCCCAGAAAGAGCGGCAGGCAACGACACGGCCACCTTCGTGGAGCACCTTAACCCTCGGCTGTTTGGGGAAGGACATTTCACAAGTCCGGTCGTAATTGAGCGAGCGCACCGCCTGGGCAGACCCGCGGACCGGACAAGACCCATCATAGCAAAATTTCTCAACTACAGGCAAAGAGAGATGGTGCTCCGCTTGGCCAGAGAAAAGCACCCTCTACTTCTAGACGACAACCGCATCTCATTCTACCCGGACTACAGCGCTGAGACCCAACGCAACATGCTCGCATACAACGAGGTGAAGAAGAAGCTATGGGATAAAAACATCGAGTACGCGAGCCGCTATCCTGCAAAGCTCAGAGTGCGCCACGAAGGGACATTCAAGCTTTTCTCATCACCCGCGGAGGTGGAAAACTTTCTCAGCACTTTGGAAGATTAATATAATCTGAACTGGACACAATTAGCGTTATTACCCCGAACACAGGTACAGACTGTATTTTCCATGCGTGTTGACACGTTCGAGATTGTCATATATGTTTAGCAGTATAGATATATAAAGAAGCTCATACCTGGTATAATATCTGGTAGAGAAGGAGCATAAAAATCATCTAATACCAATGACTCCCGCTTGGGCAGCAGAGTTATAGTAGATATAGCTGTACCTACCCTAATGTTATTTTTGTTTTGTTCTACTCTTTATTTTTGTAGGGTGGGTTTTGGGGGCTCTCTCTCTACACATCAGTGTCATTGATTATACCAAATATACCTCGTTGATAATTGTTTCGGGGGGGGCGACAGTAGCTCAGTTGGTAGAGCATTGGCCTTTGGGCCTGAAGGTCGTGGGTTCAAGCCCACCATAAGACCTACTTCACGATTCCCACTGATGACTGCTGTCGTTGTGTCCTTGGGCAAGACACTTTACCCCACTTTGCCTGAAGCTCCCACTGAAAGATCTCAGCTCCTGTGGACTCACCACCTGCAGGAGGATCAGTGAGGGGCTGGTGCTCTGTGTCCTGGGTGCAGCTCTGACTGCCACCCCCCCGACCCAGAAATGGATTAAGGGGAAGAAAATGGATGGATGGATGGATGGATAAAAAAACAAAGTTATCTGATTAATGGTCAATAGTTTTGGACAAATAATCTGTATCTCAATGAATGTCAGAGGGATTAACTAACCTATTAAACGAAAGAAGGTACTAACATATTTGAAGAAACAACATGCAGATATTGCTCGAATTCAGGAGACCCATCTCACTGACACAGAGCACCTGAAGCTGCGCAGGGACTGGGTTGGTCATGAGGCTAGCAGAAACAGAGCGCAAATGTATAGTGGGGGGTGACTTTAATCTTTTGAACCCTGCTTTAGACCGATCGTCACCTACAACAACCAATCACTCCAAATCTGCAAAAGCCCTATCTCAAGGAATGAAGGATCTTGGCTTAAAAGACATATGGCGATTACAGAACCCTGTGATGAGAGACTATTCCTTTTACTCTAATGTACATAACACATATTCCAGAATTGATATGTTTTTAACTTTACAAGCACTTGTTGAAAAAATTTGAACCTGCTCATATTTAGCAGCCACTATCTCAGACCATAATGCCATAAAGTTAGAAATTGATCTGCTCGAATCCGAACACCATCCTGGCAATTAGAGATTTAAAACCTATCTATTGAAAGACCCTGATTTCATTAAATTTATGAACACAAAAATAGACGATTACATAGAAACAAATATAAACACTGCCTCTCATTCAATTGTATGGGAAGCCCTTAAGGCAAATATGAGAGGTTACATCATTTCATATATTTCACATAAAAACAAGCAAAAATTACACAGCTGGAAAGTGAAATTAGAGCACTAGAACTTAACCATGCTCAAACTAAAAAAAACTGGAGCTCTCAGCGCTCTAAAGCAAAAACATATTTTATATGATAATTTGTGTACAGGCAAAGCTAAAGCTGCAATGGCCAGAACCAAATATCATTATTATGAATATGGAAACAAAACCAGAAGATTGCTTGCATTACAACTTAAAAAAGAAGATGCTAGAAAACCAATCCATTGCATTAAAACAAATGATGGACAGCTCTTAGAAGGGTCCAAGGATATAAACACTGAATTTAAAAGATGCTATGAAACATTATACAAAACAGAGCAAAGAAAGGAGAGTTCCAAGATAAAGGAATTTATGAGTAAACTTCCCCTCCCTAAATTGACCAGTACAGACCGCTGTTTACTGGATATGGACATATCTGAAGAGGAAGTCTTCCTGGCAATGAAAAGTTTACAAAATAATAAGGCGCCAGGGCCGGATGGATACCCGATTGAATACTTCAAAACTTTTTCCAAAAAAATACTATCCCCTCTTACAAATATGATCAGGGAAGCATTTAAGAGACAAGCTCTTCCAAAGACATTAGAGCTTGCAACTGTAACAGTACTTCCTAAACCTGGAAAGGATGCGCGGAGCTGCAACAACTACAGACCCCTCAGTCTTCTTAATTTGGATTACAAAGTACTCTCCAAAGTAAAAGCGTTAGAAAAAATTATCCCCAAAATTATTCATGCTGACCAGACTGGTTTTGTTAAAAACAGACAGGGTGCGGACAATGTTAGGACACTCTTGCATATTATTGACTATACCCAAAAACAAAAAGAACCAACAGTGATCAAATCAATGGATGCGGAGAAGGCCTTCGACAGGATAGAGCCATCCTTCCTGTTTGAGACCATGAGGGCGATGCATTTTGGTGACACTTTCCTTGGCTATATTAAAACTTTGTTCAATGCCCCCAGGTCTCGAATCTTGACTAATGGAGTTCTGTCGGAGGCGTTCTCCCTTTCAAGGGGCTGTCGTCAGGGGTGCCCCAGTTCTCCTGCTCTATTCTCTATCGCTATGGAACCACTGGCGATCTCTATACACAACGACACTGCTATTATCGGTGTTGAAATAGGGGCGGAGAGGCATAAATTGTCCTTATATACAGAAGATTTGGTTGTCTTTGTCTCCAAACCAACCACGTCAATCCCTGCTCTTCTAACCAGTTTGAAAACATACAGTGCAGTTTCTGGCTACAAAATAAACTACACTAAAAGTGAAGCTTTCCCAATGAATCTAACGGTACAAGAATCACATTCTTTCCCATCAGATTTTAAATGGTGCCCAGATGGGTTTCAATATCTCGGTATTAATATCCGTACATCCCATGACAAAATGTTCAATGACAATTACATATCAATATTAAATCAATCAAAATCAGAATTACAACGCTGGACGGATCTTCCTTTATCCCTAATGGGTAGGATTAATACAATCAAAATGAACCTACTGCCTAAATGTATCTATTTATTTCACTGTCTTCCAATTAGAATCCCAGTATCCTTTATCCAGGTATTTTTCAAAGACCTGGATAAAGCCAGTGACACTTGGAGAGGGGTGATCGGGAAGAGCGGCCCCCCTGATCTGAACCCGAGTGGTGTTCAGTTGTTGGACTTCTGTGCCAGTCACGGCCTGTCCATCACGAACACCATGTTCGAGCACAAGGGTGTCCACCAGTGCACGTGGCACCAGGACACCCTAGGCCGGAGGTCGATGATCGACTTTGTTGTCGTATCATCTGACCTTCGACCGCGTGTCTCGGACACTCGGGTAAAGAGAGGGGCGGAGCTGTCAACCGATCATCACCTGGTCGTGAGTTGGATCCGCTGGCAGGGGAAGAAGCCGGTCAGACCTGGCAGACCCAAGCGTATAGTGAGGGTTTGCTGGGAACGTCTCGCGGAGCCCCCTGTCAGACGGACTTTCAACTCACACCTCCGGGAGAGCTTCTCCCAGGTCCCGGCGGAGGAGGGGGACATCGAGTCCGAGTGGACCATGTTCTCTTCCTCTATCGCCAATGCGGCGGCTCGTAGCTGTGGTCGCAAGGTCTCTGGTGCTGGTCCCGGCGGCAATCCCCGAACCCGGTGGTGGACACCGGCAGTAAGGGGTGCCGTCAGGCTGAAGAAGGAGTCCTATCGAGCAATGATGGTTCGTGGGACTCCTGAGGCAGCTGTCCAGTACCGGCAGGCCAAACGTGCCGCGGCCCGGGCTGTTGCAGAGGCAAAAACCCGGGACTGGGAGGAGTTCGGAGAGTCCATGGAGCATGACTATCGGTCGGCCTCGAAGAGGTTCTGGCAAACCGTCCGGCGCCTCAGGAGGGGGAAGCAGTTCTTTGCCAACACCGTGTATGGTGCGGGTGGAGGGCTGCTGACCTCGACTGAGGATATTGTCGGGCGGTGGAAGGAATACTTCGAGGTTCTCCTCAATCCCCCCGTCACGTCCTCCGTTCAGGAGGCAGAGGCTGAGGATGTTGGGGCGGACACTTCCATCTCCCTGGCCGAGGTCACCAAGGTGGTTGGCAGCCTCCATGGTGGCAAGGCGCCGGGAGTGGATGAGATCCGTCCTGACTATCTAAAGTCTCTGGATGTTGTAGGACTGTCTTGGCTGACACGTCTCTGCAACATCGCGTGGCGATCGGGGGCGGTGCCAATGGAGTGGCAGACCGGGGTGGTGGTCCCTCTCTACAAGAAGGGGGACCGGAGGGTGTGTTCCAATTATCGTGGGATCACACTCCTCAGCCTCCCCGGTAAGGTCTACTCCAAGGTACTGGAGAGGAGGCTACGCCCGATGGTCGAATCTCGGATTCAGGAGGAGCAGTGTGGTTTTCGTCCCGGTCGCGGAACACTGGACCAGCTCTATACTCTCCATCGGATACTCGAGGGTTCATGGGAGTTCGCCCAACCTGTCCACATGTGCTTTGTGGATTTGGAGAAGGCGTTCGACCGTGTTCCCCGGGGTGTCCTTTGGGGGGTCCTCCGGGAGTACGGGGTCCGGGGTCCTCTGCTGAGGGCCGTCTGGTCCCTGTATGACCGGAGCCAGAGCTGTGTTCGCATTGCCGGCAGTAAGTCAGACCTGTTCCCGGTGCATGTTGGCCTCCGCCAAGGCTGCCCTTTGTCACCGGTTCTGTTCACTGTATTTATGGACAGAATTTCTAGGCGCAGCCAGGGGCCGGAGGGGGTCCGGTTCGGGAACCACAGGATTTCATCTCTACTTTTTGCGGATGATGTCGTCCTGCTGGCTCCAACGAACCAGGACCTGCAGCATGCACTGGGATGGTTTGCAGCCGAGTGCGAAGCGGCTGGGATGAGAATCAGCACCTCCAAATCCGAGGCCATGGTGCTCGACCGGAAAAAGGTGCCTTGCCCTCTCCAGGTGGGTGGAGAGGTCCTTCCTCAAGTGGAGGAGTTCAAGTATCTCGGGGTCTTGTTCACGAGTGAGGGAAGAATGGAGCGTGAGATTGACAGGCGGATCGGTGCAGCGTGCGCAGTGATGCGGTCTCTGTATCGGACCGTTGTGGTAAAGAGGGAGCTGAGCCGAAAGGCGAAGCTCTCGATT